GACTATAATGATGGAAAGACTCTTGATGCTCAGATAGCGTAAAAATTAGGCGTCATCATGGATTCTACACCGTCGTGCACTTTACCCGCCAGGCTTTCTGCATCTTGTACCTGAATATGAGTTGGCACTTAAGACGGGTTTAGCGTTGGCGAGCACCAGTAACAAGTTTACTTCCGCCCGATTACGTAACAGTCACAGTGGAGTTTAAAGGCCATGTTTGGACATTTTGCAAAGCAATCACTTCTCGGGTGTGCAAGAGAAACAAGGTATACATGAACCACATTGGCTGGAGCAATGAGGAAGAGCCTTCTGTTTACTCGGCAGGTAACGCTTTATATACACGTATATTATATATATATATATATAATATATATATATATATATATATATATATAGATATATATATATATATCCAAATGAATAGTCGATATGTATAGAGTGTCGTCGCCATAGATATGTACATCTATATATATATAATATATATAATATTATATATATATTTATACATAGATAACACAATATATTATATATATATATATATATATACACATATGTGTATATATATATGTATATACATATTTTTGGGGGTCTCAGAGCAGTAAAACTTGGATCGCCTTTTTATGTGGTGAAGACGAAAGTCCCAATGTGTTGTGGCTTTTATGTTCTTTATTAAAATGATTTATGTCTAATCAATTCTAAACGTGACGTCGTTTTTTACAGCCATGCGCTTTAGTGTTATGGATGTTGTCGAACTAACTTTGCGCAATGAATGGTCGTCGTCTGCATAGGCCTAACCTGACCAGATGCACGTGTTGCATCGTGGCCGATTCATTACCCTCATCTTAGTAATGCCCACTCTCCGTGTCATTTGTCTGTCTGTCACTCGCCCAGAGTCTGTCCATTGTCCTGATCTCAGACGTGCCGGCAGCGATGAGGCACCCCACAGCGGCGCTGGTTCGAACTCGGCTGTGGCTGGCCCTTCCTGTGTTGCGTCGTCCTCGTTAACTTTTGAGGAAGGGGGGGGGGCTCGTTAAGGTCAGATACAGGGGAGAAGT